TCTTTCCAACCCAGGAACTGCACCCAGATTCCCTGCATTGCAGGCAAACTCTTTACCTGCAGGTAAGTTAAAATGTCTAAGCCATCAGGAAAGTTAAAATGTCTAAGATGTCCACTAAAACCAGTCTCTTTCTTATACAATCCTTCATTTTCCTTGGACTTAATAATTTCCTTATTTTCATCACTTTGTCAACTGTATTTCTCCTCTGTTCAAACATATCCATTTCAGTTTCTCCCTGTGACCCTTCTCCTTTCCTCCTGCCCTTATCTGGACTGGGAACTATCTATGCTGCATACAGTCATACTGGACATTCAAGGTGGATTGTGTGTGGGTTCCCCATCTCCTTTGAAGTTTGTTGATACATGGAAGAGATAGCAGTGGTGTTCACCGTGATAACGCTGTTTACTCTGGAAGCTCTTGACTGGAGTCACTTTACATAATTTATTGAAAAAATACTTTACATGTATGAGCTGACAAATGTAATCGGACATAATTCAGAAATAGGGATTTCAGAAACCCAGTCCCAGACCCTAGGTTGTTGTTTTTTTTTCCCCCCAAACTGTGGCTATTCAAATTTATCTGATTCTTTTTAAAAATTTCTTCAACAGTACCTGAATCCTACAAGTGGGATATAGAAAAGGCAGAGGAACCAGAGGTAAAATTGTCAATATCCACTGGATCATAGAAAAAGCAAGAGAATTCCAGAAAAACGTCTACTTCTGCTGCACTGACTATGCGAAAGCCTTTGACTGTGTGGATTACAACAAACTGTAGAAAATTCTTAAAGAGATGGGAATATCAGACCATATTACTTGCCTCCTGAGAAACCTGTATACAGGACAAGAAACAAGTTAGAACCAGACATGAAACAACTGACTGGTTCAAAATTGGGGAAGGAGGACATCAAGATTATATAGTTACCCTGTTTATTTAACTTCTATGCAGAGTACATCATGTGAAATGCTGAGCTGGATGAATCACAAGCTGGACTCAAGATTGCAGGGAGGGAAAAAAGAAAGATTGCAGGGAGAAATAACAACCTCAGACATGCAGACAATACAACTCGAATGACAGAAAGCAAAGAGGAACTAAAGAACCTCTTGATGAGAGTAAGAGAGTGAAAAAGCTGGCTGAAAACTCCACATTCAAAAAACTTAAGATCATTACATCCAGTCCTACCACTTCAAGGCAAACAGATGGGGAAAAAGTTGAAACAGTGACAGATTTTACTTTCTTGGGCTCCAAAATCACTGCAGAGGGTGACTGCAGCCACCAAATTAAAAGATGCTTGCTTCTTGGAAGAAAAGCTATGACAAGCCTGGACAGTGTATTAAAAAGCAGAGACATCACTTTGCCAACAAAGTTCTGTTATAGTCAAAGCTATGGTTTTTCTAGTAGTCACGTATGGATGTGAGTCAGACCATAAAGAAGGCTGAGCACTGGGATTCTTTCAAACTGTGGTGCTGAAGACTCTTCTGAGAGTCCCTTGGAGAGCAAGATCAAACCAGTCAACCCTAGAGGAAATCAACCGTGAATATTCACTGGAGGCACTGATGCTGAAGCTCCAATACTTTGGTTACCTGATGCCAATAGCTGACTCACTGGAAAATCCTGATGCTGGGAAAGATTGAAGTCAGAAGGGGGCAACAGCCCCTTTGTACCTTGATGGTACAAAATCATTGCTTTACATGTGATACAGTATTGTTGACTGTATTGAAACAGTCCTTATCTTTGGAGACATTTACTGGAATATTTACAATTTTAATGAAAAATTGTCTAGGCTTTACTTCAAAATAATCCTCTGTGGGGGTGAGGAAGTAGAACACAAGACAAAATTGGTTACGTTTATGTTGGTAACCACCCCACTCCAGTACTCTTGCCTGGAAAATCCCATGAACAAAGGAGCCTGGTGGGCTGCAGTCCATGGGGTCACTAGGAGTCGGACACAACTGAGTGACTTCACTTTCACTTTTCACTTTCATGCATTGGAGAAGGAAATGGCAACCCACTCCAGTGTTCTTGCCTGGAGGATCCCAGGGACAGGGAAGCCTGGTGGGCTGCCATCTATGGGGTCACACAGTCGGACACGACTGAAGCGACTTAGCAGCAGCATGTTGGTAACTGTTAAAGTTGGGCAATGGGTCCATGGGTGTCCATTATACCACTTTCTCTACTTTTACATTTTAAAATTTTTCATAATAACAATTTTAGATTTAAAAACATGATTTTTTAGGGTAGGGCAGGGGCAAATGTCTGATATTGACAGATAACTGTAGGAAAATTAGAATACAGAAACCAAGGATAAACGATGTTTCTTTTGACTTAATGAAGTTATAATGAAGCTATGTTAGTTTCACTATGGCTTTTTACATTACAAATCTTAGCATTTAGCTTTCTAACTTAAAATCTCCCCTCATGGCTATCTCAACTGAGATATTAATATTAGGTAAAGTAGCTGTAACAACGAGGTTTTCTTTCTTTAGTGTTTGGTTTAACAACTAGATTTAATGAGCATTGACTCTGCAGCCAAGCACTGGTTAAGTGCTCTCCGTGAATTAGTAATACTGGATATAAGCCTGGATGATTGGCAATACACCTTTATCTTATACATTTTCTTTCCCTATCTAGAAGATTGGCATCATGCAAATTTTATAAATGAGAAAACTAATGTTACATAATTCGCCTAAGGTTACAAAAGTAGCAAGTAGTAGATCTGAGGTCAAAATCCAGACAGTTTGGCATAAGAGTAAGCATTCTTAACCATACCACTGTAATGGCTCATGACTTAAGTTACACACACACACCCCTTTTCAATCTGAGTCAAGAAACTTAGTGTTGGTTGTCTTCAGTAAGTCATGTGGATGTAAAGTCTCTTGGAAAATCTAAGCCTGTCTTTCCCACTCGTAAAGTCAGAGGACCAGTCTCAACAGTAACTCCCTAACAGTGTGGAAGGGCATACAAGAGAGTGAGGAGCTGGTGGTTAAGAAGCTAGCTTGGCAAGGATCCTTGGGCCATTTCAATCAGAGTAGAGACTTTTTTGGAAAATTAATTGTTCTGCTAGAAGTTAAGGTATGCACAGTCTTTGGAAGTGTAACAAAAGTTTCTTTCTTGGAGCCAATGGATTCCAAGCAGCCTGGCATCAGGAAATCCTTGGAATCCTCTCCATGTACATGTGAAGTATATGCATTAACAGACGTAGTTTTCTAGGGGAGAAGAGTCAAGGCTTTTGTTAAATACACAAAGTAGCTGATGATTCCATAAAGGATTTAGGACATATACGGTCCCTTTTTAGCTTTATACTATTGGAGGAAACTAGAAAGAATTCACCTGCCAATGCATGAGACGCAAGAGACCCACGTTCAATTCCTGGGTCAGGAAAATCCTCTGGAGTAGGAAACAGCAACCCATTCCAGTATCCTTCCCTGGAAAATTCCAAGGACAGAACCTGATGGACCACAGTCCATGGCAAACCCAACTGAGTAACTGAGCACACAGAATAAGACACGTTAAAAGTACTGACAGCCTGATAAACTGTGTACCTTCAACTGTCCCTTGAAATTTGCTCCACTGGACCTACAGTTAGAGTAAAATATCTCATTTGGAACTAACCTATATCTGACACACAGTATGTTTAGAATTTTTTTCAGTTACAGACTTAAACCAAGGAAAAGCCCAATCACTATGTATATATAAAGTATTTATTTTTATGCACATATTTACCTACAAAATTTACAGGAAATAAAACAATGAAGAATATATAGAATACCCTCTTAAGACTTAGTAGGAGCAGAGGGTTTATTGCTGCAGTTCAAAGAATAAAATTTTATACATGTGAAAGCCAAGATGAACACATTTAAGATAAATGGCAGCCTTGTTAAAAATTTTTTGTCCTGTCTTTGAATTTTCAGCTTTACATTAAATGAAATTAAAAAGATTGCTCATGAAATAATTTAAACCTTTTCAAAATCTTCTAATAAACAGGTAAAAGGCACCTCCAGTTCTTTAAAATATTTACAGCAATCCCAATAGTTTAATCTTAAGGGTTATTATAGTACATGTGGCTAATATGCATACACAGTATGTCATTAACACTCTCTAAACAGTGAGAATTTTAGACTCTAGTTTGTGGCACTGCTCCCAAGTGATCCCGCGATGGAGTGGATGACCAATCACACCTGCACAATACTAGTGTAACAGCATGTCTACCACAGCATAAAATCCAATTATCTAAAACAATGACTGTCAAATTCCCAGACAATACATAATTTATAACTAAATTTGTCTACTCAGAAGCCTTTGGAGTGTTCTTAAAATCATTTAAAAAAATATAAAGTATATTTAGCATTAAATGAAAACAATGAACCTGGAAAATAGCACTACAGTGGCTGAAATTCACTATCTGGTTTAACAAAAACTGTTTCTCAAAACATCTACGATTTATCACAACATAATGGTGACGAATTTTCCTTAGTCTAAGCTCAATCTGATGTTTGTCCTGCATTGTGATTAAAAGAGGAGTATAGAGTGAAAGGCACAGCTATAAGTAATAGCCGGTTTTAAAAAGCTGTGGAGATGGCAAGCGGATGTTCCTGAAATACTGGTGCAGGAGAACGATGTCCACATAACATTTCCTCTTTAACATTGGCATTGATTGGCTATTTACAGTAGTTTGCAAAAATACATTATAAAAACTGGATGAGGTTCTGTTTCTAAGTTTAACTTAGTAACATATTACATACATACTTCTTCTGCAAAAATCTTCGCAGGATCTGAAGTACTAAAGTGACACTAATACTGAAACACAGATAACCAAAGGTACCAAAGCACTGGTAATGAGAGTCGTCATCATGAAGACAATCTGGGGAAATATTGCACATTTCTTGTCCGTTGTTGCTATGACAGTCACATATCCAACTGTAAAAGGAATCCTTTATGGCTTTTTGCTGTATCACTTTTTGAAGAAAGGTTGTTTTAAGTCCCAAAACAATGAGTGTAGATTGTCATTGAACATGAGGCCTAGGTTTCAAAATTAGTTTTCCTGTCTGTAAAAATGAAAAAAAAAAAAAAAAAGGTTAAAAAAAATATATACACAGTTCTATTAAAAATAACACCACTTTCCTAGAAACCTTTTAAGGCATCAGAACACTCCTCTATATTTAGTCAAGATTAAGCCATTAATAGCTATACTTTCAAAGTATTGTGTAGAATTTTCTTCTAAAATCTTTAGAACTTTAAAACACACATATACAATCTTCCTGAAAGTCAAACAACCCACTGGATAAAATAAAATCCCGACTTGTATAGGCTGATTTATGCTCCTTACCAAGTGGAGTCTATAAAACATAAATAAAACTGTGTATCTGAACAAAAACTTTTCCCTTTTTCTAACATTAAAACTTTCATTTCCTCAAGTTAAAATGCAAACCTAAGGTTGGAATGATAAGACACTCATGTTGGTATTCAATGCACATGGATATAACTCTTCTGTAGGGCCAAGTGTCTTATTCATCCCCCACCCCAAAAAAAAGTACATACCATATAATCCAAAGAATTTCATTTCTAGGAACTTATCTGAAGAGATATGCAAGTTTAAGGATGCACATTTAAGTCCTATTCTTTCATACAGGATTTACCGAGTGCTTATTATGTGCCAGGCCTCAAGAGACGTTAGAGACCCAGTCACGAGCGAGACAGTTTCCTGTCCTCATGGAGCTTGAGTTCTAATGAAATATGCACAACATATACAATATGTAAAGTGTGGATGAAATTAAGATGCATCCCTCAAGTGGAGCACTATGTAATTAAACAAAATGGAAGACATTAACTGAGATCATGCAAATAAAAAAGAAAAACAGGCCCAAGACCTTGTACTGAAATCCTAACATTGGGTCAAAGAAGCAGAACTGAAAAACCTTTAACACTGTTTAGAGATTCTTTACTCAAAACTTGATTATAACATCTTTCTTTTTTAAGTACATGAGATACCCAACAAAACATAAAACATGGTGATTATCTTTGGTTCCAAGGTTCTAGGTGGTTTTCACAAACACATTTTATTATCCTCAGGTCAAAAAGTGTTGTCAGGATTCTGGCTCCCTCTCAAGTCTTACTTTCACTTAATTTTTGGTAATACTTTTGTATCTTGGTAGAACTTTGATACTAATTTTTCTACTGTTTTACTGGGGTGTAATTCATATAAAATTATTAAGTTTTGACAAATGTATAGACCCAAGTTGCCACCTCTCAAGGCAAGCTACAGAACACCACCACCACTTAGAAAGTTCCTCCATGCCTGTTGCTAAGGCCAGTAGAACCTGAGCTCCCAACGTAACTGCTCACCATAGATGAACCTGCCTGTCTCTGACCTTGAAATAAACAGAATCACACAGTGAGTGTTCTCTGCCTCTACTTCTTTCGCTGTGTTTTTGAAACTCACCGATGTTACTGTGTTTCAGCAGTTTTGCACCTTTTTAACCTGCTATTATAAGATGTGCAGTATTCCACTGTATAAAAATACCATGGATTTAATAAAAAGTTCAAACAAGACAAGCCAAAGTCATCCATTTACCTCAAATTCTAGTTCTCTTACAAAAGAAAACAGTTTTAGCATGAATTCTTACATAGTTTTTTTTTTATGGATTTATATTCACATATATGAATAAAAATTTGGTGCTTCTAACATGCTAATTAAGTGTTTCATTCCTAAATAACCTGATGACAGGGAAGGTGGGCAGGGGTACACATGACATAGAATGGCCATGAAAACAAAAAAGAATGGCCAAGAGCTGATTTACTGTGAACACTGGTTGAGGATAACTGAAGTTCATTTAGCTCTTCTCTTTGCCTTATGTTTGGAAATTTCCCTAATTAAAACTTAAAAGAAAGCACCAAACTGAGCATATTGTTTGTTAATTTACTTTTTGCTCCCAACATTATATCTTGGATACTTCCAAGTCCGTATTTACAGATTTACTTCTGATTTCCTGTGATATGGCTTTACCACAGCCTATCTCACCACTCCCTTGTTGAGACACCAAAATTATTTCCTTTTTTTTTTCTCCACTACTAAAGATGTTATAATGAACAACCCTGTGTACCTGTGGGATGGTACCCCCAACCAGGGTAGGAGAAACAAGTAGAATGGTTAGGTCAGGAGGCAAGCACATACTACATTTTATAAGAATGATGAAAACTATCCTTCAAAAAGGGCTTCCCTGGTGGCTCAGAAGGTAAAGTTATCTACCTAAAATGCAGGAGACCTGGGTTTTGGGTTCAATCGCTGGGTCAAGATTCCCTGGAGAAAGAAATGGCAACCCACTGCCTCAACGTATATTCCCAACAAGCAGTGTGTGGCTGCATCATTTCACCACAATACTAGAGTTATAAAGTATTTAATTTTTACTAATCTGACAGGTAGTATTTATAAATGAACTGTTTAACTCTGCACTTCCTCCATGACAAACGAGGCTGTCCAGTCTTCACCTTTATCCATTTGTATTTCCACTTGTGTGATATGACTTAACCTTTTCCCATTTAAAAAATGTACTATTTGTCTTTTTATTATTGATTTTTAATAGGTCTTCAAATATCCTGGATACTATCCTCTATCATTCTCTTTCACTGATCCAGTTGTTCTCCTGCCCTAAAATTTTTTTGGCCTTTTATTCTAATTTTCTATACTTGGCAGGTATTACTAATTAGTTTTTTAAGTTGAAGGTAAAAATGCTTTTTATAAATAAAATCAAAATTGTGAGATAGTCTCATCATGTTGATATGTGATTAACTTTTTAAAAAACACGGCAGGTTCATATGTCTATAGTCTATCAATTCATCTACTACTTCTATTTAAAACCCTATATACACAACAGCATGAGATAAATAACAGTAGTTTATAAAACCAACTCCCAACGAGTCATTTTTGGCTAATAACAACCACTATATTTCACTGAATCTAAGAAAGCTTCAGTTAGACGACGCATCATGACTTTATGTCATTAAGACAGATTACACTCTCTACCAATTTAACTATGAGACACCACTGATTATTAGATGTATCTCAATTTTCAGGGATGTTACAGTGTTTTTAAAAAAAGTGTTTTTGAATCAATGCTACACTGAATATTCTCCCTATTAATTCCATTGAGACAAATTATTTTTAATGCTTGTTTTACTAAACCAAAGAACTTCAGTCCTTTCACACGTTGTCTACAGTTTTCTAATGAAAATACTTACATCATCACAAGACATATTGTATTCTGCTAACACAGTTCGACATCGAGCAGCTATACTGAATAAATACGGTCAAAGGAAAATTTGTATTTCAAAAGTAAGCTTTTAACAACACCTAGAGAGGTGCTTTAGTTTAGTTCAGAGAATAAAATTCATGATAAAGGATACATTGACGGTGCAACTACTCTTTTGTGAATTCCAGCGAAGAATAAGCCTATTAGAGTGATACAGCTAATGGTGAAAAATGGATGGTTCCATAATGATGTGAAGAAGGACACCTGTCAAAAGAAGAGTTTGAAATATAAAAATGTTAAAAATTTTAGAACAGTATTGATTCCTACTTCTTTACTTGAGCATGAATACATGTAACATTTAATTCTCTAAAGTATGAGAATTTGGTGAGTTCCCTCGTTGCTTTTGGGCTTTCACTGCAATGGCCTGGGTTTGATCCCTAGCTCCTTGGAAGAAAAGCTATGACAAACCTAGACTGTATTCAAAGGCAGAGATGCCACTTTGTTGACAAAGGTCCATACAGTCAAAGCTATGGTTTTTCCTGTAATCATGTTTGGATGTGAGAGTTGGACCATAAAGAAGAATCGATGTTTTTGAATTGTGGTACTGGAGAAGGTCAGCTTCTGACCTCCTGGTCAGAGGGTCAGCTGGACAAGAGGGTCCAGCTGGACAAGAAGGAGATCAATCCAGTCAATCTTAAAGGAACTCAACCCTGAATATTCACTGGAAGGACTGATGCTGGAGCTGAAGCTCCAATACTTTGACCGCCTGATGCAAAGAGCCAACTCAATGGAAAAGACCCAGATGTTCGGAAAGACTGGAGGGCAGGAGGAGAAGGGGTAACAGAGGATAAGATGGTTGGATGGCATCACCAACTCAATGGACATGAGTCTATGCAAACTCTGGAAGACAGTGAAGGACAGCGAAGCCTGGCGTGCTGCAGTCCATGGGATCGCAACCAGTCAGAGACGACTTAGCCACTGAACAAGGAGCAAGAGGGAACTGGGATCCCATAAGCTTCGAGGCAGGGCAAAAAAAAAAAGGAATTTGAAGACTTTCCCAAATCCCAGTTCTTCATATTGCTATGCTACACAAATTAATGTATGTTTTAAATCTTCAATGCAGCAAAACAATATAGTAATATTCCCTCCATTCATTCCAAATGCTTGAACCATTACAAATTCAATTCTATAATTTAAAAAAATACCCTACTGACAATATTTACTGAACCCTTCCTAGTGAGAAGTTAATTTAAAGAGCATAAGACTACGAGTTCCATGGACTTCCCTGGCGGTCCAGTGGTTAAGACTCCATGCTCCCAGAGAAGGGGGCTTTGATCTCTGGTTGGGAAAGAGTCCACATGCTATGTGCCATGGCCAAAAAGAAAAAGAAAAAAAGAAAAAAGTTCTGCAAGAGGAGGGACACTGTCCTGGGCATGGCATCACTATTTTCCCAACACCTGAAATAGGACTTGGCAAACACTGGTGCTCAGGGGCTTCCCCAGTAGCTCAGTGGGACAAGAATCCGCCTGCAGTGCAGGATACACAGGAGACAGGGGTTCAACCGCTGGGCTGGGGAGATCCCCTGGAGGAGGAAAATGGCAACTCACCCCAGAAACCTTGCCTGGGAAATCCATGGACAGAGGAGCCTGGTGGGCTGCAGTCCAAAGGGTCGCAAAGGGGTGCACACGACTGAGCAACCACCCAGGCAAATAAAGGTGCTCAATAAATATTGCTGCATGAACGGAGACGAAGCCCCTAATCTCAATGAAGACACACAAGTCAGACACGATCTAGTTACCCTTCCTGTTAAAATGCAGAAGTGAGCAAACTGCACACAACCTGGTCTCAGTCTAACCACTCTCGTTTTCCTTTTCTCTCTTCACCTGGCTAGCTCCTACATATCCTACAAGACTCAGTTACAGCATCACCCTTTCTTTCTGAAAGAGACAAAACATGAGTTTGGTTTTGAAGCTACTAGATTTAGATGGCCACAGGACATTTCAGTAGGAAGAGAATAATTAGTAGCTATCCATAAAAAACTAGAGTTCAAGAGAAGCAAAGGGCTAATTTCAGATATGAGCATAATCAGATGGTAGAAAAAAATAGAACCATCCACAATTCTGAGACTATGTAGAAAGACAAGGGAACAGGATCCAGAATCGGAACAAGTGTAGGCACTGAAGCCAGACTACTGGGAATCAGAATGCAGATGGAAAAGACAAGTATTCAGAGTCTAGAAAAAGAAATCAGGTGGACTAGAAACTAAACGGGAGCAACAGAATCAAACTCAGAGCGTCTGAGCTCCACTCTGATACTAAGGTATGTGTGCATGTTTCAAGACAGACAATAAACTTAGGGGAGAACAGTGGCCTAGCAGGGTACTGCTTAAATAAATTTGTCAAGTGAAGAGATGACAGGTTGAAAACATCAGGAAGGAGAAAGCTCCCAGAAGGATGAGATCTTGAAGAAAGATTAATATTCCAGAGTAATGTCTTCTTAAACCCTTGAGGACAGTTCAATTCTCACAGGCCAGCTGTGTTTTATGAGCCCTGCACAATATTAGCATATACAGTGCTTTAATTTTAATTAGGTCAGTATCCACCTTCTTTCCTCCATGGCAATAATCAACTGCATCCAAGTAACAATTTCCTCCTCTAGTTTAGGCATTCGTGTACTTTTCCATTTGCCACATGCCTTCTCCTCTTGTGTTCCTCCAGCCAGCCACTGGCTTTCAAGCTTGCAGCCCTTCTTATAGACACAGTCGCTGTTTATTAACTCTTGTCAGGTTGGAAGTTATTAAATATTGAAATACAGAGCTGACGTTTAGGCTAACAGTTACATTCTCACCTAATTTAGAGAATCACATTAACTACAGAATTTTGAGCCTATTTCATATTACATTTAACTCTATGTTTTATTAAGATGTCAACTAGCTGAAGTCAGCTTATATTTTTCCCAATTAGATGTCAGATTCATTTCCCAAGACAGACCTTTTTCTTGCCAGCCTCCTTCACTCTTCTCCTAAGGATGAGTACCAACTATAAAGGGACACACAGGCGGGTTTCTTATCCATTACAGAAACTCCCTCTATTAACCTGAAATCCCATCACCAACCTCCCCTGCTCCTATTCTTTTGTATTTCCACCTCAGTGGATAAAGTCAGAGAGATTACATGGTAAATAACCCCCTGGTTGTCTGAACTGCCATTTAGACAAAAGTCTTATTATTAAGTTTTTCTTCTATATAACCTAAAGGTTGTAAATAAAGCTACTGGAAGCAATTTATCTAATTATAGTTTAAAAGGCGAAATAAGGTTAATTTTGTGAAAATTACAGTATCATTAATACCTAAAGAAAGCTGAACTGGAGAGAGGAAACCACTGAGAAACTGAAGGTGATTACCTCCTCTAACAGGAAAGCTCAAGTTTTAAATTAAGGCACAAGTTGGTAGAAAGAGGTAGAAAATTTCAGAAACATGCTATCGTGTTTCACTGAAGGATGCTTCAAGAAATAACATTATGAAATCTGTTATTGCATTTGGCACAGCAATATTCTTAGTGTCCAATGGGACAGCTCTCCGTGTCTCTATATTAAACTTCAGGCAAAAAAAATTTTTTTAAAGATAAAATGAAGTTGAAAAAGTAAGGCTTTGATAGCTTAGGGAATTTACACATGTCCTCTTCATGATGAAAACCATGGAACTGGCAGTGACTTCAGAGACCCTGGCAATTATGCTGGCCCAGATGGTCTATGGTGTTAGTGATCTGGTTTCCGTCCTGGTTCTGACCTCCTACTCTGTTTTTTTTCTAGTCTTGGCTGCTTATTACACTTATATCTACTATTTAATCATAATGCTTACTGCAGTTGTCTCAAATGCTTTAAGGGGTGAGGAAAGGCATCAACAAAAGTAACTCGTGGAAGAAAATGTTGCTGTGTAGTTTTTAAAAGTTGGTACTGATGACACTAAATGAACAAAACAAAATGCAGTGTTTACACTGAAATATGTATAGTAAGATACATAACAACTGCATACAAGTTCAGAAATGAAAAGTAATAAAAGTAGTATTTCTTAAACCTTTTTCTCTGCAAAGATACTTGACCCGCAATAGCCAGCCACAGTTTTTTTCAAGCAAATTAATATAAGGCATATTTTTAACATGATTAATATCACTACTAGTACTAATAGGTAGCATTTGATTAATACTTTACAAAAAACAAAGCACTGCTATAGCCATTGTCTCACTTAATCTATGAAAGATTTTTAAATCAAAAGGTCTACCTTTTGTGTCTCAGGATCTATTAACCAGTTCCAGGCACCAGTAGCTGTACAGACAGATACCACTATAAGAAGCACTGATGAAAGATAAATATGAAATTAGTAAGGAAACAAGCCATTAATATGATACTACTACCAGTTCTTAATAAACAACAGCCAGAGGATGCAGCACTTCATTAAATGGAAAATGTACTCCACTCAGGAATTAGGGAAACTTGCCACAAGACCTTGGGGAATTCTCTAAAACAATGTGAACCTTAGTAACTGAGGCGGATACAGTCCCCCTGAATTCTTTAGTCAGTATTTCTATAGATTTATGAAATTAAAAGCAGTAAGAACCAAGGTGGTAAAACTTAAAAGTAAATTTGTTATGTGTTTTATGCTTTCTGCAGATTTTGTAAATTCAAAACAAAAAACACTTCCCACCAAAACCTCATTTTTTAATGTAAACAAACCAAACAAAGACTCTTTTATGAATGCATTGAGAACTCGGACTAAAGAATTTTGCCTTGCAGACAACGGCCTGTTGTTGAATTAAACAAAGGTCAGTGTTAGGAGTGCGGAGCACACCAATCAGTATCAGATTTTCTTTAAGGGACTTAAGGAAAGTTGGGGTAGAAATTACTGACAGTACAAGTTATATTCTTTCTCCCCATTAAGGTAGAATTATTTTAGAAATTCTAAAGAGAGGATAAGTAAAACTTGAGAATAAATAGTATTACTAAAATACTATTACACTATTAAAATAATACAGGGGCACCAAGACCTAGTTAATGTTCTGGGGACCAAGACAGTTTCTTTCAAATGGGATGCAAATGTTTCTAAAATTTACAAATCAAGCTTCAAAGAGCAAAAGAAATACTGCGAAACCTTAATTATCTAGAACTTCTGGCACGTTTAGAAGAGGCAAATCATAGAAAAACAATCTCATTTCAGTTATTTAATAATACTCAAAATTTCAAATTTATGCTCTCAGCTCAGAACAGATTAAACTAAGTCTCTTACATTTCCAATAAGAAATATACTAAAGTATACAGATTTTTCTTTTTTTTAAATGAAGCAAAATCATAATCAAACCAACCAGACAGGACCTCATACACATGGGTATACTAAACAAGCTGATGTCATTTATATGGAAGCACTGAGACTATGAACCAGAGTAAAAGTGTATTCATTATATTACATTTTATAATCCTATACATTTAAAAAAATTCCCAAGTAACAGTGAAATAAGGTTTTCAGGATAATTCCTAAGTAAACTGGAGAGCTTGAGAAAAATCATTACTGCTTGTGAACAGCACTTTGCAAATAGATTTAATAAAAATTACACAAAAAACCTTGACACAGGAAAAGACCCCTGACTTCAGTAGTGCTCTTCAGTTCGGTCCCGCCAACTGAATCATACTTCAAAATAAAATATGTCCTTCGTGGGCTTCCCTTGTGGCTCAACTGGTCAAGAATCTACATGCAAACTGGGTGCGATCCCTGGGTTGGGAAGATCCCCTGGAGAAGGGAAAGGCTACCCACTCCAGTATTCTGGCCTGGAGAATTCCACGGACTATAACAGAGACCATGGGGTTGCAAAGAGTGGGACACAACTGAGCCATTTTCACTTTTCACTCTTCTTGAAAAAAATTAAACTTCAGCAATGAATAGCCAAGAAATTAAGACTCTCCCAACAAAAGTTAACAAAGTATTCTGCTTACTGATCTTATCACTTAAATATTTGTCTACGTTTCCTATTTCCTATGTATTTCCATGGGGCAGTAACTACAATTCTTTCAAGTCATATCTTACAGTATTGTTGAATATCACTTCCTTCAACAAACTTTACTTCAATAGTTTACAGGCAAAATTGTAAAACTGCTAAACAGGCTACTGAAATTTTTATTACATGTTCTGATAACCAGATTTGTCATACATGTCTAACAAAATATACGTATTTTAATATAAAAATAAAAAGTCAACCACACAAAATACGACTATTCTTCTAGGGTTGTCAGTTTCTTTTCTTAAAATTTCTTTAAAAAGCCGTTATTTACAATATTAAATAGATCTAAAACTGTCAAAACAAAAGGGAACCTTATGCTTTAATAAAGCAAGCATTTATTTGGTGTTTTTTTTTTTTAAGCAAGCATTTGTTAATCAAAAGTTTTACATGAAAGCAAATCACTGCTAGGCAGAATAAAAGTATCAACTGTCAGCTTATTTTCCATTAAAAAAAACGTCCAAGCACTTACTTCTCCAACGTCCAGTGGCAGGTTGCAAACAATGAATATATTCAGTAAGTCTCCTCTCGAAAGCCTTGAGATCTAGGCAAAAAGATTTCAATTTTGAAATTAGCTACTCTTAGTAATCTGAATCTATTACGATGAATTTTAAATACTCTAACTGCTTCAGGTCTTGCACACCAACTCACATGTATCACTGCACTGTTCACTTCTTTACTATGATAGCTTTACACCCTTGATAAACACTAGGTTTCTTTAGTTCCAATTTCACATATAAGAAAACTAGCTGGTTCCTCATAAAATGGTATGTGGAAAATCAGCAGCAGCCTCAGTCGGCGCCAAAAGCTTGAAATTTGGGGTTGCAGGTAAAGGATCAAAATCAAGCCGAGTTTTAACTCTGTTGGAATCAAGAACTCCGTATTAGGACAATATCTTACCTAGGACCAAAGTCTCGATACCCTTATGTTTAATTAACAGCTACGTTTTCAGTCTGCTCTTACTGGACTTCTGATCAGCTAACGGATGGGTAATGGAAAGACACTCCCCTTTCCAGCCGCCCAAGAGCTTACAGATGATCTATGTGGCACTTCTGGAGTGCCGACGCCTGGTTCTACAAGACAGGGGCGTTCAAGGTGTTTCCGCTGAATGGGCAAGGTAAGGTATCATTTTCAGTTGCGCTTTTCAAACTTTAAAAGGGAGACCAAGAGGCACTCGCTTACCCCGGCAGTTACCAAAAACCAAGGCAGAAATTAGGGATAGAACTCTTATCGACTACTAGAAAAAAATAAAGTGGGTTAGCGCCCTACAAGGTTTGCTAACAAGTAAGAGATAGAAATAACTGGGCGAGAAGCTCCCTGGTCCACGCAGGAGGAATGGGGGAGCTGACGCAGCGCCTCTCCAGCGGCGGCGGAGGCTACGCGCGCCGGAAGCAGCGCCAGGCCGTGTCCGGCCGCCCCTTGGCCCCTGGGCCGGCCCCCGCGCCCCCAGCTCCGGCCCCCGTCAGTCCATCCTTCGCGGCCTCCTCTCTCCCGACCAGGTTTCCACGATTCCGGCGCCTCCAGAGCCCCTCGAGCTTCCGGGAGGAGTTAGCGAAGGGCCCAGGAGGCGCACCCTACCTTCCGCTTGCTCCAGCGAGTTCATGTCGGGCGGCAGCTCCGGTCACCGGCGCGGCCCCGTCCGCATCTCAGCTTCGCGGTCCCTGCCCGGCCCGCAGCGCCAACTCCCACCTCTAACCGCTTCCCTCCGCCCCTCTTCTTGGCACCGCCCCTTGACTAGACCCGCTACGCTCATTGGACATTTCCGCCAGACCTTGTAACTAAGACCGTTTTCTATTGGCTAGTTCCCTCACGGTTCTCGGGCACTGGCGTTGGACGGTCAGCCAGAGGGACCAAGAGTTGTCGGCGGCTGAGTCGGCGTGACACTAGCGCCACCTCCTGCCCTGGGGAGGAACTGCAGCCTGTCCGGGAAAGTTCATTCATTGGTGTGTGTACTATTCCTAGTTTCCCGCTTGGTTCTTTCATTACTTAAATAAGCCTGGCGTGCTGCAGTCCATGGGATCTCCGAGAGTCGGATACGACTGAGCGACTGAACGACGACGAACCCTTTAAGTACACATTTCTCCCTTGGTTATTTTTTCTCATATCATCCAATTTTCATAAATCGTAAAATGAGTGTTCTGGAACTTAAAAGAATCTGTAAGGCATTGACTACATTTATATTTGATTAAAACACTCTCTGGCTCCTTTCCTTGTGGTCACTCATTCATTCAAGAACTATTGCATGTCCGGTAGGCACTGTATCAGGGATGCAGTTTAGCAAGATAGACAAGACTCCTATCCTCAAAATGGAAGGGTTACAGCAGACAATAAACATGCAAATAGATCATTAATTTCAGGTAAGCTTGGTTCCGTGAAGGAAGTAACAGGGTAATAGGAGGCAGTGAGATAAGAGCGGGAGGTGGGTGGTGGGGTGGGTGGTGGTGGGTAATGGGAACTAGTTCTAGGGAAGTGCTATTTAATACACAGGGCCGGACGTTTGATTTGAGAGCCCCAAGAAGCAACTGGCCATACAAAGATGGGCACTAGGAAGCTCCAAGTGGCACTGGGATTTTTTCACTGTTGATATTTTACTCACTCATCCTTCAGTTTCCCTCTTCCCTACTTGCCATTAGAATTGACACATCCTTGCCCATTACTTCACTTTGTAGGCTCCTTTACCTTAACACTTCCAGAGCCTTCCTTTGGACCAAACCCTTTACTACATTATCTCATTTAGCACCTCAACACAATCTTTTTTAAACTGTGGGTCAAAACCCCAGAGAAGATCATGAAAGACATGCAAATGAGCCATAACTGTTATTTTGTAAATATGAACTAAACTAAAACTTAAAATATTAGCACCAGTAGTAGTAAAAATGTGTCATTTCATGATTTTTTATTTTGTTTGTGTGTGTATTCCATATGTGCTATGTTCTGATCATAACGTAAAACATATATGTAAATGAGGGCTCCAATAAAAAAAAGTTTGAAAGCCACCAATGTAGGTATTAATAGGTTCATTTACAATGAGAAAAGTAAAACAAACTTGCCCAGAAGCATGTATCAGTCACACATTCATGTCACAGACTCATTTTCATCTGTGTTAAAAAAAACAACAACACTGAACATGCCTTTGAAAGGGTGTACGTTTTTATCCTGTTATTGACACCTGCATGTATGGATCACAGGGGCCTGGGGAACAGTAAGCAAGGAAGAGAGGAAAATAGGGGCTCATAGTCAGGCTAAAAAATTTGGAAGCTGAAGTAATGGGGAGACCGACGGATACAGATTTGTAGAAACATTATATCAGTGAGATTTGTCAAGAAGATAGTTAACAAATATTTAAGTACTACATGTTCCAGACACTGGGATATAAGCCAAGAATGCAAAGGTCTCCCTCTAGGGTCTCCTGCCCTGTGTAAAAGATAGTGTTTCGTGTAAAAACAAAAGACAGAACACTGAAAACCCTTAAAACGTCAGTGATAAGATGAAGATCTGCTTCAAAGAGGGATAGCCAATACAATAACTAAAATTTGTTCTATTTTCCTGGAGGTCTGGTGCTACATCTTTTATAGTTCAGGAGTGTGTAAACCTCCTTTAAACCCCACAGCAGCAACATGAACCAAAATGTGTTATCAAATCCATTTTAGGGTTGAGTTTAGAAATAGGTAGATGAGTTGATCAGCTCCAAACGCTGTTGCTGGAATTATCCTTGATTCTCTCTCCCTCTTTCTCTCTCCACATGGCAGATCAGATTCCGTAGCGAATCCTCTTGCCTGTATCATCCACATCAACTTAAAATTTAATCACTTCTCACCACTTCTGCAGCTCCCACTCTAATCCAAGCCACCATATAGCCTGGATTTACAGCTGTGACCCCTCACCAGCCTCCTGTTCCCACCCTTTTGCCAAACAGTGATTCATAAAATACTAAAAGATCACACGTTGTCCTCAGAAACTTCCAATGGCCCGTTGGAGTGACTACAACAAGGATCTTCCTGCCATCTCCATGGCGACACCTTCTAAAATAATTTTGACAACTTGTATGCCTCCTCACATGTTTCAAGAACTACATCTGAGATTTTCATCATGGACTTGAATGCTTATAAAAGATGTATTTTCTGGTATTGTAAATATTGACATTTGGAAGTAAACTCTTACGTGACTCTTTTAAAGGTATTCGATGGAATCGAAATACCATGGGAATTTGACACCCACCATCATCCCTTTAAAAATACATAAATATCTGTTATGAATATGGACATAAAAATCCTTTAAGGAATTAGCAAATCAGATCCAGCAACATATAAAAAGGAGTATACAACAAGGTGAAGTGTGATTTATCCCATGAATGCAAAGTTGGTTTGACGTCAGACTTAGAGAATGAATTTATGGTTTACAAGGGAGAAGATTTAGGGGGAGGGATAGTTAGGGAGTTTGGAATTGAGAGAACACATTGTTATATTTAAAATGGATAACTGACAAGGAGCTACTGTATAGTATAGGGTGCTACATACCCCTGCACCATCCTGGAATCCATAGCACAGAGAACTCTGCTCAATAGTACCCAACAACCTAAATGTGAAAAGAATTAGAAAAAGAAGAGATGCATGTATATGTGTATATGAATCACTTTGCTGTACCCCTGAAATTATCACAGTGTTGTCAATCAACTGTACTCCAATATAAAACAAAAAGTTACAATTCAGAAAAAAAAGAAAATGAGTACGTGTAATATATCATATAAACAGAGTAAATAACAAAAACCACATGACTTAATGAGGATGTAGAAAAACTGGCGCATTGGAGCATTCATATATGGTAGGGTGTGTGTGCTCAGTCACTTTAGTCGTGTCTGACTTTTTGTGATCCCATGGACTGTAGCCCGCCAGGCTCCTCTGTCCATGGGATTTCCCCGGCAAGAATACTGGAGTGGGCTGCCATTTCCTTCTCCAGGGGATCTTCCCAACCCGGGGATGTCTCTGTGTCTCTGAAGCTCCTGCGTTGGCAGGCAGGTTCTTTACCTGGGAAGACCATGTATGGTCAGTAGGAATGTAAAATGGTGCAGCTACTTTGGAAAACAGTCTGGCAGTTCCTCAAAAAGTTAAGCATATAGTTACTCTATGAACCAGCAATTCTCCTCTTAATATCTGAGAGAATTGAAAACATATGTTCACAAAACACCTTGCACATGAATGTGCATGGTAGCATTAATCATAATAGTCAAACAGTGGAAACAATCAAATGCCCATCAACTAATGAATAGGTAAGCAAAATGTGATATTTCTATATAGTGGAATATAATTCAACAATAAAAAGAAATGAAGTACTGATAAATGCTACATCCATAGAGACAGGAAGTAGATGGTGGTTGCCAAGGACTTAGGAAAAGGGAAAGTGGAAAGTATGAGATTTTTGGGGGGCGGGTGATGAAAATGTTTAGGAATTGGATAGTGATGATTACCTAACTTTGTAAGTATACCAAAAGCCACTTTAAATGTGGATTTTATGCTATGCAAATTATATCTCAACTGTAGAAGTGTGGGAAAACCCTGCATAACCATCTCAATTGTTGCAAAAGAAGTGTTTAGCAAAATCTCACACCCTTTCATGATAAAAACACATAACTAACCAAGAATAAAAGGAAACTTCCTCAATGTTGATGAAGAATGTGTACAGAACACACAGCTAACTTCATATTTAAAAGTGAATGTTTGCAGGACTTCTCTGACGGCTCAGTGGTTAAGAATCTGCCTGGAAATGCAGGGGACATGGTCTGACCCTCTGTCCCGGAAGATCCCACATCCTGAAGAGCAGTTAAGCCCGTGTGGCACAGTTACTGAAGCCCACGCCTGGAGCCCGTGCCCTGCAACAAGAGAAGCCTCCATGATGGGAAGCCGGAGCACTGCAATCAGAGAGAGCCCAAGCGCAGCAACAAAGACCCAGCACAGCCAGAAAGAAAAGGGAACATTTTCTTCCTAAAACCAAGAAGTAGACAAAGATGCCTATGCTTGCTACTTCTGTCCAAAATCATAATGGAGGTTCTATCAGGCAATTACGGAGTAAAATGAGATCAAAGGAATCCAGATGGGAGACGAAAAACTAGAAGATATGATCTGATCTTACATATAGGAAATCCTAAGTAATTCACCAATAAGTTGTTAGAACCAAACAACGGGTTCAGCAAGGTAGGGTATAAGATCAGTATAAAAATAAAGTGTATTTCTCTGCACGAGATGGTTAGATAACATCGTTGACTCAGTGGACCTGAGTTTGAGCAAACTGTGGGAGATAGTGAAGGACAGGGAAGCCTGGCGTGTTGCAGTCCATGGGGTTGCAAAGAGTCGGACACTTTAGTGACTGAACAACAGCATTTTTCTGCACTTGTAATGAACAATCAGAAAATGGAATAAGTGAAACACTTACATAGCATCAAAAATAATAAAATATTTAAGATATACTTAACAAAAAAGGGCAAATCTTGTATTCTGAAAACTATAAAAATTATTGAAAGAAATTAATGAAGACCTAAAACATTGGAAAAACATCCTATGTTCATGAATTAGAAGATAATAGTGTTAAGATGGCAATATTCCCCCAAAT